AATAAGTGGAGGAGAGTGATGTCAATATTACAAAATATCTATGTTCATAATTCCTCATTCATTTCAAGATAGGGTTCAATTTGTGTGGGATAGATGCAAAGTAAATAAACAATTGTGTGGAGTAATTTTGTTTTACATATCTTATGAATATATTTGAGTTTAGTTTATTCATCTTTGCTCCACTAGTTCGATGGTTATTGAGTCACATACCTAAATATTTCTCACCTTGACCCTAAGTTACGTTACAACCATTGAAAAGTACTTATGATTCTTGTAAAACATGTGATCTAAGTGGTGGCAAATGAGATGATATGCAAGCATATGGTAGATCGTCTCCATTGAAATGAACTTGAGCGAAACACTTACATTTTAAACATATGAGAGTTGAGCACTTATATCCGTGAGGGTCTACATGTTTGGTTTATTCCATCTTCATATGAAAATGCCAGCTAATTGATTATGAGTTATGTGAGACCCTTCAATTAGAGATCGATCAAATTCATCTTTTTCTTGCTCATTTTGTTCCCTTGGACTCTTTAATTTAAGTTGGTGGTTGTCTTGTCAGAAAATTAAGAAAAAAAGAAAAACAAAGAGATATTCATAAAAAAATTACATTTTTGAAAAAATAAAAAATAAAAAATTAATGAGATCTTCCCCCAACTATGAAAAATTAATTGTGGCTCACCACCTCAACACGTTTGACCTTTCTAGCTTTTATTTATTCATAAAAATTTTCAGAAAACTAAACGTTAAAGACTCGTTGTTTTGGGAACAAGTATAGAGAATTTAGCCTCGTTAATTTTAAATATCATATACCGAGAATTGAAGAAAGTGGAAAGTTCCAATAATCTGTCTAAAAATACATAAACACAATCTAATGCAATAAGAGAAACTTTAAATACAAAACTCTAAAAGCTAGATAAGGTTGTAAACATGATTAGTTGAACCTTTTTTTTTCTCGAGGAATCATTACATAATTTCAAGTGGTAGAAACAAAATAAAAGAAAAAATCGATCACAAACAACAGAAAATTGTGTGCTTTATCAGGGGTGGAGCTAGGGATTTTGTTCAGTGCAGGCACAATTTTAGATATCGGCTACAGTGATTTTTTTTTTACCAAAATTAGTTTATGAGCGAAAAGAGCTTCACGTGAACGATGCAGAGTCTTGGAGAGAAATAGTTTTGGTTTCTCGTACTCCATACCTACTTCAAGGCAATGCCCATCATCCCGTTTACCCGATTAGGCAAGTAATTCCAGTCCCATCAGAGGCGGGACTTCGCGGGTATCAAATTTAACGAGTTTTTTTTAGTATCCCTACCATCAAATCTCTCTATTGTCATGATATGAATGTAAAATGCATATTTTTCCTTCTTATTTTATGTGCTCGTATGATTAATCAATACCAAAATATACTCATTACGTTCATATTTTGGTTTAGGCGGCAATTCTATGGATATGGCGTAATTTGGAAGAAATAAGCGAACAATGACCAAAATGAAAGAAAACGAAGTTTGGGGATTGAAATACAAATACTCAAAAGTTATGTGGAACATCATGATGAAGATTTGATAGTTTTAGGAGTCAATTGGATGAAAGAAGATATCAAATGGATGAAATATCGTCAAAGTATAATCACACATCAATTTTCAATTGAAAAAGTTACACCGGTTTTCAACCTCATATTGAGACCCATTTTTGACATGGTAAACGATTGAATTGGAAGATGATATCTAAAGCAAAGTTGTATTCCTTTGAGTTAGATTTTCAACGCATCTTGAATCATTGAAATCGGACAGTGAGAGTGAAAGATATGACCAAAATATTTAAAACTGTCCGATGGAAGAAACCTATAACTACGCAGTAGCATAGCTCTAATTCTATGCGGTCACGAGAGGCGTTTTAGCGAATTTTAGAGCCTACTTTCAATGTTCTATACGACCGCATGACATACTACTATGCGGTCGCATAGTTCATTCCCGACACGGAAATTTTGGTTTCTGAATTTAAATCAACTACTTATGAAAACAAATATAAATACATATTTTAAAACCCTAGAACAGAAGGTCCAAATTTCATTCTTCATTATTTAGCTCATAGATTCATGAATTATAACTAAACTTTTATACTTGGTCTAAGGAGATTGAAATCTCGGAATCACATATTGTGAGATCTAAGTGGTTTTTCTTAGTTTAATTCATATTTTTGAGTATTGAATATTTATATGCACTTATTTCCAGGATTGTTATGTTTAATTACTAGGAAACCTACAAGTTTGTTATTCGTTACAATTTACGGCTAAATTAAATATCAAATCCGTAATTGTTTGATTTCTTTTAACTTGTGAAACAATTAGGGTTTCATAATTTGCTGCTTTGGTGATTATTGAATTTTAGGAATAATATTCAGTTAAATTAAATGCAACCGCTTGTGCTTGTGTTGTTTAGCTTCATCGATCTTCTAATTCGTAATACGATTATCAAATTAAATTTAGAGCGCTTGTCTTAAGTTGTTTGGTAATTATGGTTAATTGAGTCACCTGTATTCTAATTAATTATAAGTAAGGAGAGATAAGAAAATAATTCCAACGGTGAATATTCAAAATATGGATTGATTTATACTTGTATCGATGATCAATTGTGAAGTTCCGAAGGTGGATATATATTGACTTAGACCAAGATTAGTCTTTTGATTATTTTCGTTAATTTAATTTTAATTTTTTTTAATTGCGTTATTTACAATTGTTTGCATACAAAAACCCCAAATCATTGTATAAAGCATAAAATATTGAATTACATACTTTTCGTGGAATCGACTCTTACTTCTACTGTGCATTTAATTGCCAATATTTTCCCTATGTTCCCTATTTCTTATTTTTGTGCTGGTTGATTGAAAAAAAAAATTCCACATGAAATATTTTCCTACTTTTGGTTACATGACCATATTTTCTTTGAAAATAAGGAAAATATTTTCTTTTAAGAAGATGTGATTTTTATTTTTTAGGTAATTCACTCACACTCTCTCATCTATTCCCTCTCTCTCTCTCTCATTTATCCACCAATAAAAAATAGACAAGTATAATATTTCTTAGATTGAAAATTAAATCAATCAAATACGTTTAATTAATAATTTTCATACAAATAAGTTCTAGGCAATTCAATTGTCTCGAATATATTTTATTTTAATGCAAATTACATACTCGTAATCAAACGCATCCTAATTTTTCTTTTTTATTATTTTTTTTGTTAGGAGTGATGAATTATTATCATAAAAATTATCACTTATTTATAGGTATCAACTTATCAGTTATCCATCAATTTAATACCATAATTTTAGGAAAGTTAAATTTAAAATTAGCATTTAAATAAGTCACGCACTCTTCTCTAATAATTTCACACTATTTCTACAGGCACACTTTTTCTCTTTTTTCTCTCTTTTTTTTTTTCTTTCCTTTTCTTCTTTTCTTGATCTAGTGCAAGTTTCCTGCGAGCACACTTTTTCTTCTTCTCTTCTTGGTCCAGTGTGAGTTTCTTACCGACACAATTTTCTTTTTGTTTATTCCCTTTTCTTCTCCCCTTCTTTTTCTCTTTTTGGTCCAGCGCACTGGCCTCTACGTAGCTCCTCCCCTGCACTTCATCACTGGATGAGTAACGTTTTTTAGCATCATTAGTGCTAAGCATCAGTTTAAATATCATTTAATTGTCATTAATTTATTAAATCGTGTCAAAAGTACGAGGATAAGTACTATTTAAAATAACCTACCATTTAAACATAACTATCATTATTCTTTCCTAATAAATTGAACTTGGATTGATTTACTCTAGTGATTACAAAAATAATATTTCTGAGAAGTCACCAAGCACCTAACACAACATACAATGATAAGGAGTTCGTGAACCAATATGAAAAATATTTAAACTTCTCTCTGTGTAGTATGAAACTGTTAATAACTGAAGAAGAATTTAAATTTTATAATTCAAGTAGACCAATTTGAAATTAAGTGAAAATGTTCTGGCATAAACAAGTTGTTTTAATTGAACAAAATTTATAGGAAACTGCACCTGGACAAGAAAAGGCAACCGACAGTATTATTGATATTCTCGGACAGTCTCTCTACCGTTCATTCATTATTTCACTGGCTGCAAATATTGAAGGTTTAAAATTTATCTTCACAATTTTTTTGATTGTTTAAGACTTGTTTATAATAAACTATTTAAAATTAAAAATTCATTTACCAAGAAAATCAGGGCCAAAAACTAAAATACATTTTTCAAAAACACATGCAATTTTTCCTAAAAAATTGTCCCATGCTCATAGTCCAAATTAGAATTTCTCTTGAATGATCATTTTCTAATATGATGGTACCAAAAAGACCCTGCACCAGCTAAAGAAAGAAAAATAATACGCCT